CATGATCCGGATGGCGGAGGATAGGAGCCGACGTGAAATGGGCGACTAGGTATTGGAAGGCCCGAACGGCGTCTGGAGTCAGCTGGAACGGTTGGCCGGGAGGGCTTGGTCGGGTGAGAGAAGTGAGAGGTGCCACAATGGTGCTAAAGTCCTTAATAAAATGGCAGTAAAAGTTGCAGAAACCCAGAAAACTCTGCAGTTGTTTCAGGCTTGTTGGGAGGGGCCAGTCTTTCACCGCCTGGACTTTCTGAGGGTCCATGGTTAGTCCTTTATCCGAAATCATGTAGCCCAGGAATGATACGGACCGCTGGTGGAAGGAGCACTTCTCGGGCTTACAGAACAGGTTATTATCCAGGAGCCGGGTTAGAACAGCGCGAACATGGTGGAGGTGTTCGGCCTCGGACTTGGAGTAGATCAGGATGTCGTCCAGGTAGGCAAACACCCACCGTCCCAACATGTCGCAGAGGACATCGTTTATTAGGCCTTGAAAAACGGCGGGGCTATTGCACAGCCCGAAGGGCATGACCTGATACTCCCAGTGACCGGTGGGTGTGATGAACGCGGTCTTCCACTCATCTCCAGCTTTAATACGGACCAGATTGTAGGCGCTCCGGAGGTCCAGTTTGGTGAAGATCCGCGCCTGGGAGATGGCGTCCAGAGCAGACGTGAGGAGCGGCAGAGGATGACGGTCTTTGACTGTGATTTTGTTCAGTCCTCGGTAATCGATACAGGGGCGGAGATCACCCTCCTTTTTCCTTACACAGAAGAAGCCTGTGGCACCCGGGGAGGAGGAAGGTCGGATGAAACCCTGCTGGAGGGCCTGGTCGATATAATCCTCCATGGCTCTGGACTCGGCGGGAGAGAGAGAAAAAAGGCGCCCCCGGGGTGGACTGGCTCCTGGTTGCAGCTTGATTTCCATGTCGTACGGGCGGTGAGGCGGCAGCGTGGTGGCGCGCCGCTTGTCGAACACCGCAGCCAGGTCCCGATAGGGCAGTGGCAGATTGGGCGATGTTGGGCCGGGGTCACCGTCCGGGCGGTCTGGCATGGATGGAGGAGGAGAGAGGTGGGCCTGGCACTGGGTCCCCCATTCCAAAAGGCGGCCCTGGGACCAGGAAATCTGGGGGTCGTGGAGACGGAGCCAGGGAAATCCCAGAATTAGAGGAGACGAGGGAGCACATATGATCAGAACCTGGAGGGTCTCTCGGTGGCCTTGGACGATCATCTGGAGTGGCTGGGTTCGGTTTTGGACCGGATAGGGTTGGAGGGGCCTACCGTCCACCGAGGTCACTGGCGCAACTCTCTCTAAGTGGGTCATGGGGATCCGTAGGCGCTTAGCTAGATCCATGTCCATAAAATTGTCAGCGGCCCCCGAGTCCACCAGCGCATGCATCTGAAGTGAGGTCTCACCATGAAGGAGGGTGACATGAAGAAGGAGTCGATTTAAAGGGGCAGGGGTTGAAGGTGACCCAGGCTGAGCGACCTCAATACTCAGTGGGTTCCTTCGTTTCCCAAGCGTAATGGACAGTTCAGGCGTCTGTGGTCGGAGGAGCCACAATAGGCACAGAGACCCTCGCGCCACCGTCGCTGTCTCTCCTCTGGAGGAAGGTGGCCTAATTGCATGGGCTCATCAGCAGAAGCGGGTCCGGGAGCAGGCGTGGGGGAACGAGGAAGAGGTCCAGGCACCCTGGATGGGCGAGTGAAGGGCTTGAGCCGAACCAAAACCCGCTGATCGATGCGCAGCACCAGATCAACCACTTCATCCAGGGTCTGGGGCAGTTCCTTTCCCGCCATCTCGTCACGGATGTAGGTCGCCAGTCCCTCCAAGAAGATGGCTCGGAGGGCAAAGTCATCCCACCGCAGCTTGGCAGAGATGGTGCGGAACTCTGACGCATAAGCGCACACCGTGCGCTCCCGCTGGCGGAGCTTTAGGAGTTGTGCTTCTGCTCCCACTTCGTTGCTGGGTGGAACACAAGTCTTTCTGAGGGCGGACACAAAAGCAGCATAGTCATTGCAAGCCGGTGACTTGGAATTATAAAGCGCAGCGGCCCACTCAGCCGCGCGTCCGGAGAGCAGGGAGGTGAGATGCGCCACCCGAGAGCGCGCAGTGGGGAAGCGTCCTGGCTGGCACTCAAACTGCATGTCGAGGGTGGTGAGCAGACCGTCTGGGCTCCCCGTCTCTCCATTCCACCTCTCCGGGAGACTGAAGTGCGGCCCCTCTGTTGGTGGAGCGAGGGCTTGCTGCTGGAGAGCATGGAGGGCTGTGGATAAGTGCAGGATGAGATCGGTCTGGGAGTTTTGTTTGGTGTTGAGCCGATCGATCAGGGTGTGGAGCTGAATGAGTTCATTCACCATTTGCTCCATCTTTCTTTTCATTCGCTCAAACTCTGCTGGATCTACGGACTCAGTCATCCTGTCACGATGGTCGACTGGGTACGGGAGTTGAGCTTGGTAAGAATGTTTGATGTCTGGGTTATTAGGTAGAGAACTCTGATCATGGGGTTCAATGAAACGATGACTGAATGAAGAGCCGGTGCGGCGTGTTCCATATATAGGCTTGGGTGTGACTGGGAGAATGCCGGGTGTTCCCGCGAGGAGCATGCTGGGAAATGTGGTCCCAGATGGAGGCCGGTTAGCTGGGAGAAGCCGGTCCGGGTGCTTGGGTTCTGACAAGCAGTAGTAGTAGTATAGAAGTAGAAGCAGCAGTAGCAGTAGTTGCAGTAGTAGTTATAGTAGTAGTAGTAGCAGTAGTTGCAGTAGTAGTAGTAGAAGCAGTAGCAGTAGCAGTAGTTGCAATAGTAGTAGTAGCAGTAGTAGTAGCAGCAGCAGTAGCAGTAGTGGTAGCACTAGTAGTAGTATAGTAGTAGAAGGAGCAGTAGTTGTAGTAGTAGTATAGTAGTAGAAGCAGCAGTAGTTGTAGTAGTAGTAGCAGTAGTTGCAATAGTATTAGTAGCAGTAGTTGCAGTAGTAGTAGATGCAGAAGTAGTAGTAGCAGTTGTTGCAGTAGTAGTCATAGTAGTAGTAGTAGTAGTAGTAGCAGTAGTAGTACAGCAGTCCATTCACACACATGCACACACCGGTGGGGATGAGCTACTCTGCAGCCACAGCTGCTCTGGGGCACACTGACAGAGGCGAGGCAGTCGAGGACAGGCACCACTGGTCCCTTCAGCCACCACCAGCACTAGTAGTATTAGTATTAGTAGTAGTAGTATCTGTGGAGTCCAGCGTGTGTTTTTTTAAGAAGACAAGGTTTCCAATGGTCTAAATCCATGTAGAATTGTCTCAAAACCTGCTGTGACTTGTTTTCTTATCTTGCCAATGCAATCAAGGAATCTCAGAACTACAGATCTCTAGATCTATGTGTACCTTTCTCAGCTGGAGAGTCAGACTACTGAGCCAGCTATCTGCACCAACATGAGCATCAGCGCAGTAAGAATGCAGGCCGAAGAAAAGAGGAGGGTGGGCGGTGAATAAGACCCAGATGGTGGGGCTGATTTCCAGAATATCTCTGCTGTGCTTCAACAAAACATAGATTTCAGATGACAAAAAATGTGTTCTGTGCAGAAAAAAACCTGTGTGAAAAAACAATAAAGCACCAGATCATCTAATTAGTTTATCCTTCTTTACTTCATTACATTATTTTATGATAAAAGTGAAAACTAATAAGTGAAACTAAGACATTTAGCCAATCAGCCAAACTCACCTGCAGCCGTGTGTGTTACTGTGTGGTTGTGATCTTTGTGTAACAGAGGTGAACACATGACAACCTCCTGGATGAACACAGAGCCTGATTGTTGTTGATGGGAAACGAGGCCAGACTCAGAGTGATGGAGTCATGAGGATAATCTGTTGTTTAGCCAGATCAGGCTGACTGCTGGCCCTGACCTTTGACCCCATACAAGCTGACTGTCAGATCACATCTGTGAAGTTATCTCATTCTGGAGCATCCATGTGTTTGCTGTAAAACACTAAACTCAAGCAGCACTTTCTCTCTAGTGGAGGATTATTTTACACACTCATCAATGTGATTCCAGGACAAGATGTCATGACTCGAGGTAAGTGCCTAACCCAAGACATGCAGAATCAACACACGTAGTCCAAAGCAGTAAAGTAAAATGTCTTTATTATAAAACGGGAACTGAGACCGCACAGGGAAGTCCTGTGGGATGAGCAATACGGCTCGAGTCTCTGAAGTGCTCAGGTTAATGAGGAGATGACAGAAAGCCGGGAAGGGCGCTGGGCAGAGGGTGAGAGGTCCAGGAGAGGCGAGGTAGCAGAGGGAAGCCAAACAGGAGCAGCGGAGGAGGATGGGACATGGTGAGTATAATCCAGGGAACGCAGACAGCGAAGGTGAGTAGATGAGGAGAGGATCCTGAGTGGAACAAAAACCAGGCGTGAGGGATAATCCAAATCGTAATCCAAAACACAATCCGAGGTCATAAATCCAATGGTCAAACACGAGTTAAAACACGAACGAACTAGCTCAAGGTCAAAGGCTGGTGCTACCTAAACTGGTGCAATCATCTGGCAAAGTGATGTGTCTCCAACCTCCTTTTGAACCCGCGTCCCTGATTGGAAAATCTCCTGCAGCTGCCACTCCCCCTGTTCCTCACCTGTGGAGAATTAGCTCAGAATCTGGTGAGAGGAGATGGTGTGACTCACCTCTGCCCAAGAACATGACACAAGAAAGTCTGGGAATCAAACCAACAGCTTTCCGGTGGTGAATATCCAGCTTGTCTGTGTTTGAATCCATTCTACACTTTGCACCCAGCTCCATCGTTTTTTAATTTTGGGAGATGTTCGTGTTTCAGCGAGCCTTTCCGCCATGACTGACAGGTTTGGTTTTTCCTCTATGTGTGCAGAGATGGGCTGTAGCTTTTGGACATACTTTACAGGAAGAAAAACAATTATTAATCATACATAAGAATTCAGACATAAGTTTGGGCACATATCACCCAGCCCCACGTCCACTTCCGGGTTGACAACAGAAAACTGGAGCCTCTGGAACAAGCTGCTGTGTGTTCCTACATGGCGGTGACGGGGCACGGAGGGACGCCTGAGGAACTCCGACTCTTCCTTTGGTATATTTTATTTACTTTACACACATTTCCCTTCAACCATTTGTTTTCTGTTTAAACTGAAACTCGGGAGGGATTTTTTGTTGTTGCTGTTTTAGTAAAGGTAACATTCCAAGCTGCCCGCGGATAAACGGAATAGGAAGTGACGCCACCATCAGCGTCAGCTCTGAGGATGTTTGCAGACGCAAACGAAACGTCAGCAAGGTAAAGAAAAAACCTCATCTGTGTTTAAAAAAGAACCAAAAATGGAATTTGAAGACAAACACAGCAAGAACGTACAAAAGATGAACTTTACAATAATACTATTGTTTTATTCTTTCACAAACACAAGATTTAAATCCAGCTTCTGCAATTAAAAACAACACGATGGTGTTCCATGACACAAAACATAATAAAAAGCAGCAGGACTGCGATATTCCTAGCACAGACTGAGTGGTAGTCTCTCTGGGAATATCATGTGAATTTTTCACATATATCTAAGGGTGGACTGGCTGTCACTTTGTTAAAAACTTGCACAACCCAGATGTAGACAACACCCTTAAGGGACCAAACAGTCATGAGCCCGTCTGAGCAAGCTGACTCTACGGTGTTTCAGCAGTGAGGAATGGCTTGGTGTCACAGGGCCTGACCTTCTGGACAGACAACAGCACGTGACTGGGTTCAGCACGTATCTCCTGAGCTGTGGCTGTGGGTTTCCTGCTGCAGGGAGGAGATAAAGAAATATCTGTAAAGAACACAGCTGAGCTCCGTTCAGCTGCTCGACTCGGACTGGAATACCAGCTCAGGGGACAAACTCTACACAAGAGACACGACACACAATAAATATTACCATCAGTATGTCTCATGTGTTTTAGATTATCTGAAAAACAAGATAAACGTATAAAAAGAATCTGATGTTGCTACCTAGGCTGTTTTCAGCGGGCATGTCCAAACTCCCCTGAGGGTCACAAAAAAGTTTATCCTTAAAATATACTAAAATAGTTTATGTTGTCTTTTTATATTAGCACTGTTCAAACCTAGGCCTGTCGAGGAACATGCGCTTGATGTACATCAGCAACCTGCTGGAGAAAGAAAATTCCACCGGTCTAGAAATGCAGCTGGAGGCCAAATAAAATCACTAAGTCCTGCAAACGGCCCCCGGGTCACACTTTTGACATACCTGTCCAAATCACCATCCCAACATGAGTGTGTGTGGAATCTATCATTTAGTTAGCCTGACAACAAACCATTCTATATACAGTATGCCACAACACACAGAGCTCAATCATGGGGCAGGACTTATGGTTGTCTTTCAAACTGTCTCCGCGTGCTATTGGATAAAGAACAATGTAACATACTCACCACTACAGATGTCAGTCATCGGAGAAGTCTGCCATACACTGTAGAAGACGCAAATACATTCTTACTCTAGAGAAAGGACTTATGTACCTCTATCTGCTCTTGACTCAAAGAAAAGCCCAAGTCTAATTAGTCCAAAGTTAATGCCAAAGGCGTTTTAAACGATCCGCTGCCATATTTGTTTACTCGCTCCATCGCAACATCCCGCCCACCAAACAGATAGAGCGCTCTGATTGGCAAGGCACAAAATTGCTCAGGCCAATAGTTGAGCTGCTGATGTTCAATGGAGCGTGGCTAGACCGACCTGCAGAGCCAATTCATTTTCTGCTGCTGTCTAGATTTCTAGGCTAACATTTAGTAGCATTCTAGCAGGATTAAATGCACTAAAACTACAAAATATTTCAAATAGAAGTATCTAAAAATTACTCACTTTAAAGACTTAAAAAGTCCTGGGTTGCTGTTACAGGAAATGACACGAAAAAAGATTACTAACATACATACATACTACATATTTTTTGTTTCAACAAAATTAACTTATAGTCAATTAATAGGTTAGTTAGTTTGATTATTATACAATTAGTTGGTTATTTAATTGGTTAGTTCGTTAATTAGTTAGTCAGCTAATTGGCAATGAAGTGATCTACAACTAAATGGAGGACGAACGTTGTTCTTCTGATGTTTTTACCTGAAATGGAAATGAAGAAACTCTAAACACTTAATTCTAATGAAAGCTTACATAAAGTCAGAACGTAGAACATAAATATTTGGTCCGCCTCTCCTTTGTGTGAGGCTGAGTTGCGAACTTCCCGCGAGGTCCCTGAACGCCTCACGTCCCAATGACAGACAGAAGAGCGAAAGTGACGGAGCCCGGAGGAGGGGCGGTTGACGTTACCGACACGCGCGGCGTTAACCGGAGTGAGTGAGTGAGTGGTGTTTCTTGGTTGTGGTCGACCTTTAAAGCTCGCGCGGACAAAGTTCCTTGTCAGACCCGAGCAGCGCCGCCACAGACATGGTGAGTACAGACCTCCGTCCTCATGGAGACTAACTTCTGCTCCGGCTGCTGACAAACACGCGCTGCTCATGGCCGACAGGCGCTCCCACTCACAGGTGTTCAGTCTGGCTGCAGCGGTCAGTCAGAGCAAGAACACGAGATTTTACCTACATGACGTCAGCCCTGCTTTTGTGGTGAAGTAAATCTATTAATAACTAACACTATAACTTTTTAAAGGTCGAGAGCACACGTAAGGGCATTCGTGTGAGTAAACAAAGGGCAAAAGTGAGCTGTGGTGAACATAGGTGTTGTGAGACCAGGTAAACTCATGCAGGCAGGAGGGAGGAAGGAAGGAAACTGGAATGGGCAGCAGTTCCTGTGTTAAGACACAGCCAGCTCATTTTGCAACACTCTATTGTTTGGCCAATATGTGGTGTGCCCAGAATGAGACTCGAGTCTCCCAGCGCATTTATAACTGCCAGATAAATAAGTGGCACGTGTTCATTCTTTCTTCAGCCAGATTCACACTCTGTGATCAGGTCCAGTCGGAGGGAAAACGGACCATAAGGACCAGACCAGAGTGTGGATTTTGTCTTCTGACTGCTGGTTTCCTGTTCTCCTCACCTTCTGATGCTGGCTTCCTGTCGTGGCTCAGGGTTAAAACAGAAAGGAAACTGTTGTTGTTCCTGTCTATCCAGACACGGTTCTACCTGAATGTGTTCTTGGAAGACCTGTCTTACTTCATCTGACTAGAGCAACGACTCTGGTTTCGATTTACCTGAGAACAAGAGCTGAATGCAAACTAAAACTCATCCAGGCAGCGTTGCTGCGTCAGAAAGTCAGTTTCCATCTACAGCTGTGCCCACGTGGCCAAAAACGTTTCTACAATTTGGCCCGTCATCCTCACAAAAGTGGGGACGTATGCCGCCAAAAACGATTCTACCAATACCTCAGACCAAGGTGGAGATTTGTGTGCAGGTCTAGTAGGGTTGTACAGTAGATTTGATGTTGAGTGGCTTTTATTAAAATAGAAGAAGCATGCTATCTATATCATATCTATATATATATAATATCTATATCAATCCTAACCTCTATTATGTGGACCAACGCTATTCACGTGTGGTCCGCACTCATCTGGATTTTATCATTCATCTTCCACCGACCTGCTGCTGGCTTCCTCCAGTACACTGCCGCTGAGCTCCTCAGGATTTGCCACCGCCCTGGATCTCCACCGGCTTCACTGCACCTCGACCCGGACATCTCCCATCTTCTCCGTCGGAGATATGTCCACCTCGGCTCACGCAGGAATTTCCACTACCACAACTCCGCTTCAATCAATTCTTTCTGGTCCACCACTCGCCGTCATCCTCACAGGAACTCATACCGCCGGACAGCTGATCAGTCCTCGTTAGCCAACCTCGCCAGGACGGCTAACGCTCATGGATGTGACAGCACCACCGTCAACTTCGGCCTTCTCAACATCCGCTCTCTCACTGGGAAAGGTCATCTCATTCACGATCTCATCAAGGACCGTGGACTCGACTTCATGTGCGTTTGCGAAACTTGGCAGCAGCCCGCTGATTTCTCCCAGCTCAACGACGCTACTCCTCCCGGGTTTGTTTACCTCACCAAACCACGCGGTTCTCGCGGAGGAGGTCTCGCGATAATCCATCGCGAGAATTAGAAAGTTTTGCCAGTGTCTGTCTCTGATTTTAATACCTTTTGAGTATTTGGTTTTTAAACTTAATGGGCCTACCCCCACTATCATTGGATCAATCTACCGCCCCCCTAAACCTCACAAAGACTTTCTGTCAGAAGTCTCAGTACTGCTCACTCATTTAACTACACTCTCATCTAATGTAATAGTGCTTGGAGATGTTAACATACACATGGACAACAGCGATCTTCCCTCACCAAAGACTTCTCATCCTGCCTGGACAGCCTTGGATTTAATCAGCACATCAACTTTCCAGCTCACTCCAAAGGACACTGCCTGGATCTGCTGTGCTGCTCTGGTCTCACCCCCCTTAACTGTGCAGCTGATGACCTCCACATCACTGATCACTATTTTATTTCCTTCAATATTGTAACCCAGCTTTCTTTTACCAAACCAACCCGGCTCATTTCTTTTAGGAATATAAAGGACATCAATATCAACACTTTATCCTCCTATATTGATAATATTCAGCTACCGGACAATCTCTCCTCTCCTGATGACCTGGCTGCTCTCTACAATGACCAGTTAGCTCACATTTTAAACTCCCTTGCTCCAGTTAGAACCTGTTCTGTTACTTTCTGTCAGTCTGCTCCCTGGTTTTCCCCTCAACTCCAGACGCTGAAAACCAAATCCAGGCAGCTTGAACGCCTCTACAGAAAAACTGGTCTCACCATTCACAAAGAACTATATAAAAATCATATGACTCAGTATAAGGACTTAATTATACTAACCAAACAACAGTATTACTCCTGTCTAATCAACTCCAATCGAGGCAACACTAAGCCATTGTACTCCAATATCAATAAAATTCACTGGCCATCCGATATTCTCCCCTACATGTGCTGTACTGCTACCTGTAATGCCCTTCTTCTGTTCTTCAACGAAAAAATAATAAACATTCACCGTGCAATCAACCAAAGCATCCCCCCTACCTCCCCATATGATCCTCCCGAACCAACACAGTTATTTTCCAGTTTCTAACTTCCCAGTGATTCTAAGATATCAGATATTATCCACAACTCAAAGCCTTCTACTTGCCTTCTGGATCCCCTTCCCACGGCCTTGGTTAAATCCTGCCTCCCCTCTCTGTTCCCTCTCTTCTCCGCTCTCATACACGCATCCCTTTCCTCTGGTATTGTTCCCTCTATCTTCAAAACTGCTGCAGTTACTCTAATACTTAAAAAACCTGGTTCGGATCCTAACATTTTTATTAATCTCAGTCCCATCTCCAACCTACCCTTTGTCTCCAAAGTTTTAGAAAAAATTGTCGCTGCCCAGCCCCAAACCCATCTGACACTAAACTCCTATGAACCCTTCCAGTCCGGTTTCCGCCCACTTCACAGCACAGAAACAGCCCTCCTCAAAATAACTAACGATCTCCTCATTGCTGCTGATTCCGGTCTACTATCCATCCTGGTCCTCCTTGATCTGAGTGCGGCCTTTGACACTATCTCATTCCATTCTCCTCCATAGGTTATCTTCCATCGGCATTGCTAACATCCCACTTCGGTGGTTTCAGTCCTACCTATCAGGTCGCACTCAGTTCATTACTACCAAATCCTCCCGCTCACAGCCCTCTTCTGTCTCTTCTGGCGTGCCCCAGGGCTCTGTCCTGGGGCCCCTCCTTTTCATTATATGCATCCTTCCCCTTGGCAATATTTTCCGCAGATTCAATATTCATTTTCACTGCTTTGCGGATGACACCCAGCTCTATTTGTCCAGTAAGCCAATTCTGCACTTCCTCCCTCCTCCCTCATCACCTGCCTTCAAGAAATAAAATCCTGGTTCAGTTCGAACTTCCTGAAATTAAATACAGACAAAACAGAACTTCTTTTGGTTGGTACCAAGAACACACTCTCAAAATTGGACAGTTTCTCTCTCACTGTTGATAATACTTCAGTTTCCCCCTCTACCCAGGTCAAGAGTCTGGGTGTCATCCTAGACAGCACACTATCCTTCCAATCTCATATCAATAGCATCACACGGTCAGCTTATTTCCATCTTCATAACATTAATCGTCTTCACCCCTCCCTTGATGTCCACTCTACTTCTATCCTTGTCCATAGTCTGGTTACATCACATATTGATTATTGCAACTCTCTTCTCTCAGGTCTCCCTCAGAAAACCCTCCGTAAGCTCCAGTTGGTTCAGAATGCAGCAGCACGCATCATTACTAAAACTCCCATCTCTCATCACATCACCCCCATCCTCAAACAACTCCATTGGCTACCAGTGCACACCAGGATTAACTACAAGATTCTCCTTCTCACCTTCAAGGCCATCCATAACCTCGCCCCTCACTACCTCACAGATCTCGTTCACATCGTCACCTCGTCCCGTTCCCTCAGGTCCTCCTCCTTCATCTCTCTGTGCCCTCCTTTCGTCTCAGCACCATGGGGAGTAGAGCCTTCAGCTGCACCGCTCCCAAACTCTGGAACTCCCTTCCCCCTCTCATCAAGAACATTAACTCATTCACAGAATTCAAAAAACAACTCAAAACTCACCTCTTCAAAACCACATATCAGCTTTGAATTTTAGAGTGCCTTGTTTGTTCATGTTTGTTTACTTACTGAATGATTTGTGTTTTTATTCTGTACAGTGTCCTTGGGTGACCAGAAAGGTGCTTTTTTTAAATAAAATGTATTATTATTATTATGCTTTTGTTTGTCTTCCTGAAAGGAAATTAAAATCCCGTACTCGCATTTCAGTCTCCTTAAGGTCACCTTCTGCCATAAAAGTCCAGGCTTGTGAAAGTAAAGCTTCAGAGAGCTTTCTGAATCTGTTTCCTGTTATTTACTGAAGAACTCGACATAATTAATCATATTCTCCGTCAGCCTACAGAGATGACTGTCAAAGCAGGAGATAACCACCACAAAACAAGCAGTGCTGCCAGATTCTGTTTATCTCTAAACACTGTGTGTGTGTGTTGACTAAACATGTAGCCATTAACCCTTACACCACAACTGAAACCGTGTGAGAAACACAGCTAAGCGAGTAACGGGACACATTTTTTTGTGATGGCAGCTCAGGGGTTTCCCCTGTAACCAGTGGGTTGCTGGTTTGAAGCCAGACCGTCTGTGTCAGTCATTTTGTCCATGAGGAAGACACTTAGCCCTGCTGCTGGTGGTTTCTGTGAGTGTGCTCCAGGCCAGCTGCGGCTACCACGTATCTCATCAGCACCCGCGTGTGAATGACTAGCGTAAGGCGCTGTGGAGTCCTCTCGCTTGGAAAAGTGGTGTACATAAATATTTTGACACCATGCTGTGTGTGGTGATGTGCTCCAGGAGAACGGGAAGAGTCGCCTGCAGCAGGCGCAGGAGGAGGTGGAGGAGGTGAAGGAGATCATGCTGGACAACTTGAACAAAGCTGATGAAAGGCACAACAAACTGAGCGACTTGGAGGTTCAGGCTGAAGAGCTGATGGAGAAGGTAGGAGGCCCATCATACTATTTTGAGTTCAAGGGTCTGAGGTGAATTTCTCCTGGAAATTTCGATGGGATCAAGAAATGTCATATTGATGTCTATAAATATTCTTTAGGTGGAGCTGGAGAGGAAAACTAATGTACAATTTACATCCTGATTGTGTTAAACGGTGCTATGTTTAGAAAGGTATTTCCTATTGTTTCCCAAGATGAATGAAGCGAGCTGGTCTCCCTGGGTACGACCGAGTGTCCAGGACATACCACAAGGCCAGTGTGTCCGGCGGTCGACACGTGGGTCACACCGCTCCCACGCTGCCTCACATGCAGGGTTCTTCCCTAAAATCAAAGGGTTAATAAAAGCAGGTTTCTGTGGAACGGTTCCGGCCAGCTATCATCTCACCTGTTGTAAAGAACTTTGTCAGTGACCACAGTTTGGTGAAACTGAAGATGTAAGCTAGCTGCACCAGGGTTGTTCCAAAAGCGCTGCAGGTAACCGTTTCCTGCTTCACTTCCGCTGCGCAAGAACATAAAAACCAGTGTGAATAATGATGTCCCTACAGCTGTATAGGGTTATAAAATGGTGTTTCCTATTTTATTTTAAGACACCATTAGCTGTTGGCTTGTTGTATGGTGGTCAGTAGGGCTGAGTGGTGTAATGAAATATGTCGGATGATGAAACCAGCGTGTCTGTCTCTTCATAGTCGAGTTTAAACTGTGGTGTTCATGGCAGCATCAGCTGTCACCATGGACACAGAGCTAGCAGCATGTGGAGGAGAGACGGAACCAAAACAGTTTTCATCAGGGGAACACATCTGGACACATCGGGTTGAGGAGCTGAGAGGCTACAGCAGCAATAATGAGTTAAAGTTAAACATGAAAACTCTTCAGCATTTACACAAACGGCCCTAAACTGTAATTTATCATTTTCTAGAATCTCTGTCAGGATTTTCGTCATATCACACAATCCTGCTGCCACCTAGAGAAGACTGGTGCTTTGCTTAGTGTGAATATAGACACACAAGTATACAGGTTTCGTGTGGAAAGATCTGCCTTGTGGTTTTGGTGCTTTCAGTGCAGAGACTTCTTTTTTACTGGCTCCAAGCTCAGCAGGTCTGCCTCTTGAATATAAATCTCCACGGTCTGCCCATCTGCATTTTTGTCCCTCTGAAAACATCTCAGCTGTGTAAACAGACCAGAGGCCAGAGTGGGAACACAGCCCCGCTGATCTGACCTTATTCTGGGTCATTCTATTGTTGAACCTACAACCTCCACACTGTAGATGCCGCGCTGGTGTTTGTGTTCCAGCTTTAATGTGAGATTATTGAATACTGGAACTCCCCTCCACCCAACACTCGTATCACTCCTTTTCTTCCCTAAAGTGATGCTAGGAGGTTTTGACTTGCTTTTAGCACCCCCTATTGGCTGTTAGAGACAGCATTGGTGCGTTAGTCTTTTTAACACACTAACCTACCAGCTGAAATGTCTCCTGAGCCTTCATTAGTTTCTACAGAAGTGATTCATCACTAAATCAAACAACTCAGCTGTGTTCACAAAGCAAAACATACAGGAAACATGCTGGGAGCAGACTGTAGCACCAGGTATGTCAGCTTAATTTGTACCAAGTTCAACAGGGACTGGACTGGCAACTCTGAAGTTGCAAGTGCGATATTTTGGCCACAGAGAGCGGTGGGGGTCTGACAGACATTTCATTAACCCTGTAAAGCAAGGGTATTCAGTTCTGTGCCTGCTGGGCTGGTATCTAGCACATTTTAGCTTTAACTCTGTTTCAACAATCAGCAGGTGATTAACAGACTTCTGCAGAGCCTGATGAGCTGCTGCACAGGTGATCCAACCATGAATCAAGTGTGTTGGACCAGAGAAGCCAGGGTCAGCAGGGGTATTCAGTTCTCGAGTCGAGGCTGTAAAGGGTCCTTTCAGCACAAGACAATGATTTAAAAATATGAAAAAGCTGCACAGTATGGCAGTATGAATTAAAATTCAGGTAAAAGTCTGAGAGAAAGGAAGAGGGCGAGCAGCAGCAGACAAGAGGTCCGTTTCATCACATTTAAAGCTGCAGTATCAAATCTTCAAAACAAGCTAGCCTTTAAACACAAACGCACAGAGCACTCACCACTTGGGTCGATGATCTTCTTTAGGCCACGCCCCCATGCAAAACACCAGCCGCAGTTTTCTACATCCAAATGTCTATCGTCAAAATAAAATGTGAAATTTGTCTAAAAAAGACAAAAATAATGATTTATGAAGGAGTACACTTCATTTTAATTATCTCATTTAAATGTGACAATTTATAGTATTTCCTATGTGGTCGCATGTTTGTGAACTGTTCATTAAATTAAATGAAAGTGCTTTATGTGGAGATGAAAGTAATTATCTACAGAAAGTGATTTATATCAGCATGTGTGGTTTAGGTCAGCTGACCTCAGAGGATCACATTGTCTGGTTAACTTAAACCAGGAATCTCAGACATGTAAGTATTTGGTGCAGGTACAAAAACTAAAGTTTTATATAACATATGTCATTACAGCGTGTCCTTTATCACCTCTAAATACCCTAGAGGAGGAGAAGTTAGATGCATGATAACAGCAACGAGTTCATCGGTGATGGTTGTGAGGTCAGAGAGGCGTGGCCTGTTGGGAGGGGACAGTCCCGTTTGTCAGCATCATGTCTGGCGTTCTGCTGGCCTGGGGAGTTTTAATGGGGTTTTCCACCGTGATCAGAGAGCGAGAGGGGGATGTGGAAATCCCAGAGAACAAGTTTCACAATGCTTGAGCTCAGAGAGAAGACCTAAAGTGGGCTGCATTACGTTTGTGTGGGTATGCAGAGACACAAAAAGAGTGTTTGTGCAACAATCCAGACTTTTTAATATGCAGGAAGTGTTCTGAGGCAAAGCAGCACATCAGACCGAGGACACAAATCTCGCTCGGTCTGACTAAATGTATTGGTGTGATGCATTTATTTCAGTTTAAATTGTTTAGAGGAGAGGGGAAATTACCTCTGACTTTGTGTTTTTCTCCACAGGGTAAAGTTTTTGAAAAGAGCACCTACAAAGTGAAGGAACAGAAAAGATGTCAGAACCAGAAGACCAAACGAGTACTCATCGGCGTTGCAGTCGGAGTAGTTGTCATCATCGTTGCACTTGTACTTTTTTTCGTCTTGGGCTAGTGTGGGAAACCAGAAGCTCGGTGACAACTTGAAGAGGAAGGATCTTGGAGCTGAGGGACAAACAACAAATAAGTTCCAGGAAAAGAGGATATGCAACTGTGGGACTGCAGCGTTTGTCTGCAAACGTGTATTTATGGGAGGATGGTTCCCTTTCTTCACTGGTTCAGCTGATATGGTACCATTTACTGCTGCTCCCTCTCTCTGGCTTTAGCTCTATCAAAAACATTTGTACACGGCACCTCAAGGAGAACAGGATCTCCCTGGTAAACCCCACCTTCACGAAACAGCACCACCTGCTGGTTGGCACAAATATTTGCAAGCTGACATCACCCATGTTGAATCTATTTCAGGAATGATTCGGTGGATTAGAACCAAGTCTATATATGGCCAAGCTTCACACACATTTACATTTAAAGAGGCCTTATAGCTGTACAAATGATGCATATTATACAGTTTTATTATTTGACTTAGTTATTTGGTTAATAAGTTCAAATGACATATTCTTGTAGACATTAACTATCTTCGAGGTCCCAGAGGTGCTGCTGTCTCTGGATAACATCATATATTTGTGTCTGCAAAACGTTCACAGTGCTGGAAAATCAAGAAAAATATCCAACCAGACTTAGTAGGACTGATGGTGTCACTGGGCTGCTACTGTAGGAAACACAAGTCATGGTGATGGTGACTGAGGAGTTAAGGGCCCGCCCTGTAACCGGAGGGCTTCGGGTTTGCGTCACGCCCTCTGTCACAGACGTGTCCTTGGGCAAGACACTTCAACTTCCTTGCCTGCTGGTGGGGGTCTGAAGGATCCTGCAGCGCCTGTGCCCCAGGGCAGCTGTGGCTATAGTGGAGTAAAAGATTATTTGGCAGCCACCAAAATAAAGTCAAAAATATGAGAGGTCTGTAATTTTTATTATATGTAAATTTCAACTGTGAGACAAGATGTTTAAAAAAATCTAATAAATCACATTGTTTGGTTTTTAAAGAATTTATTTGGAAGATGGTGCAGAAAATAAGTATTTGGTCAATAAAAAAAGTTTACCTCAATACTTTAATGTAACTTAGGAGGGCGAGGACAAACGTCTGGAGCTCTGCAGCTTTGACACACTAGCTGGTATTTTGGCCCATTCTTCCTTGCAGTTCTTCTCTAGAGCTGTCATGTTGAACATGTTGCTGACTTTGCCTAAATTCACCCCGCTGGATTTATAACATAATGTTATAAACAGCGTTTCACTTTACACCAAAGCTGGTTTTTAAAAAGTCCGGATCTCTACCAGCTTCTGTTGCTGGTGGTGTTACCGGGTTCAGCTGCTGCTCTCACACTGGAATGAGAAGATCACTAAACACAGACGCTTATATAAATAAATAATGTAATTTTAACACACATAGTCATACATTGGAGCTTTAATATTGTTAATAATTATCTCGCTTTACACTACAGTGGACAGGGCACATCCTCCGTGGTGAAATACCCATCCATCAGGATTATCAATAACTAGTATTAACACATCACATTTATCCCTGTCCCTGTCTTCCTCGTGAAATAAATGAACGTTAATCTTACCCGCTAAAAACATGTTTGCTGCAAATCTGAGGGCTGCTAGTCCGCTTGATTGATCGCTGCAGTTCATCTCCGTCCTCAGTCTCCATGAAAGTTATTAAAAAAACAAAACGAGTTGAGTTTACATCCTTGTCTGTTTGTGCAGCCAACCATGCAGCAAGCTAAAACCATTTTACTGTCAAATCAACTAAATAAAAGCGATAAAAGGCTACAAACTGGCTTGTTTTGACTAGCTTCACTTGAGTTTCAACAGGTGTAAATGGTCTTTTTGCCGTCCATCATGGTGATGGTGGAGGTCTCAGGAGTGGCGTGACGTCACGTGCAAAGGGTCAATTGGAATGTTTGTGTGAAGTGCCTTGAGATGGCTCTTGTTATTTGATGGTATATGAATAAACTGAATTGAACTGAATGAATGATGCTGCTGTAAAAGTCCATCTCCAGTCCACATCCAGACACAATAATTCTCTCTTCTGTCTCATGAACAGCAGCTGGGATGTTTATTCAAACAAAGGTTTTCTTTTTAGTTCCAACAACACACTCATCTGGTTTTGACTTTTTCTTTCTTGTGCTTGATCCTTGTCTATATTTCTGTTTGGATGCCGTCTCTTCCACATCTGACGCCTGCATGGTCAGCTGCTGCGTGATGTCAATCATTGCAGGAAAGCACATGGTGTCAGAAAACTCGTCTCTTTTTCTCTCTCCTCTTGCCTGAGCTGACGTAGCTGTATGTGCGGCGTGCTTCACAGCAGTGGTGCGCCTTTTGCGCATTTAGAGAGAATGTGGTGCACAGGTCTTACAGCAAAATCTGTGACCTAGCGTAATCTGTGACTGTGGGGGCGCTAATTACTATTTCTCATTTTCTGGGTCTTACAACGACAGAAGAAGAGCGATTACATAAACTGCGTAACAATTGTCCCAGCATATCTAGTATGCCGGTCCGCCATGTTTTTCCACGTCCGACCGTCCGCGTGATTAGGAATTTTCCTAGGTGCGTGTAGCGGAAATTTTGGGCCGTGGAGGGGCGTGGTTGTTAAAATGATGCAATTTCGCTGCGTGGAGCCGTGCGGACCTCGCGGACGCGTCAAGCATAAACCAACCTTAACAGGAGTACAGTCACTCCAACAGCCAAGGAAAAGGTGGGAAAACAGTGCTGCTCTCTGGTTGGTTGAGAGTGTTCAACCATTTTCTGTCCAAGCAGGATCGAGCACCCACACATATGACACATCAAATCGACCAGCTTTATCTCAGGAATCTGGTATTCAATTTCAACTGCATTATCTGTTACCAAGGTAACACAAGTTTATAAGGATATCCCCAAAGAAGTCTCATTGAAATTGAATGTGAAACACCTAATATTGAGCCTATAACATACTGCTGTTTCTTATCTTTCTGAGCTCTATACACTTAAAACTAGCAGCATAGCTGACATTTTAACACTAGTCAGAAGGCAGGAACCGCCCCCTCCTCCTTCGCTGCTCTCTCATTGGCTGGGAGTTTTCAATTGTCTTCTGCCTAAAAGGAAATATGCACCCACACATATGATACATCAATTCAACCTGCTTGGTCCCAAGAGTCTTGTATTAACTTGATATTGTGTTCTGTGTTACCATGGCAACGTGCTTAACAACAACATTTTAGACACAACTGTATCAACATACTTTAATATAGAAATGTTATTCAAAGTTTAAAAGAGTCATGTGACATTGTACATTGCTTTATTAAAGCAGACTCCTGTCATCTGTTACCATGGCAACACAAGGAACTACAAATCACTTTAACCAAGTCTCATAGGAATGAATATAAAAAGCTGAATTGAGCCAATAACAGACTTCTGTTTTTGATCTTTTTGAACAATCTGTACTTAAAACTAGAAACAAGTTAAATTTGATTGACCGTCAGAAGGTGGGAAAGTTCCCCGCTCCCTCCCAGCTCCCTGACTGGTTGAGAGAGGTCAATTATCTTCTGGCTAAATGGAATTACTCACCCACACATGGGAGACATCAAATCGATCCGCTTGGCCTAAGGAATCCATCCATCCAATAAACCATCTAACATCCATCCAACATTTCATTCGTCCAACCATTCATCCATCCCATATCAAATCAGAACATGTTAATCTATCAGTTTCAGATATCCGTAAATGTTTCTAAATTCACAGTTCAACCAATTGTAAAAATGTACATATTAAACTATTCTCATTCAAATGCCAGCTGTTTAACATTTCAACTTTTGAGTTTTTAATCAATGTTCAAAGATTTAAGTTTTCTGCTGTTCAGCATTTTTTGTCCATTCTCCACCTATGTTCTGATCTTTTTTCATTATATTTTTATACAATGTTCACAGATTTCAGTTTTTTGCTATTTAGGATTATTTTTCTCCATTCTTCACTTACTTTTTGTGCTTTACTTGCTTGTTTCTGATTGTTGCTTCCACATCTTTCAAGACATTCAGCTCATTTTGACAGTTTTGCTTACTTTCAGCCTCAGTTCAACTATTAAGCTGATTCAGCTAACAGTTTAAGCTATCCAGCATTTAAACAGCATTTCTGCAAAAAAAGCAATTTATCTAGTTATTATTAGTTTATCTGAATGAAACTAAACATTTTTGCAGCTGGATTTCTGATTCTGACCAAACTGTGCCTCATAGCTTGTGTGTTTGTCAGTATTCCTCTATGTGCAGGAAAGTTTGACCCAAGTTTGTATTTGGAGGGCATAAAGAGAAGGATGAGTGCCACAGAGCTGAAGAGGAGGGAGACTATAAAAAACCAAAGCAGCAGTACCGTCTGCAGCATCTCCTGAATGCCTGAGTGAACTCTCTGGGGTTGGACAGACTGAATCAGGTGGGGAAAGAACCAAAAGGAGACCGGAGTTGTCTTAACGGCTGCACTGTGAGCTGTGAAAATGGCAACACTTGTTGAATGCTGATTCATGATGATGCGTGGTTTTTCCAATCCAAGCATTTTCTCATCTATGTTCTATCTGCAGCTAATGCAGGAAATAGAGTAAAATTTTATTTGTTTATTTGAAATTTACAGTTAAATGTTTTCACTGTTTTTCTTGCACCTAAAAGATGTGTGTGTATGAAATAAAGCTACCTTTTTAAGTTTAGAATTTGCAGAGGAGACCTTGAAGTGTTTGTGAGCAAGAAGAGGCTTAATTTCTGTGAGGCTGGAAGGTTACTGCAGCGTTAGATAAAACCGAAAGTTTGGTTTGGTTTTGTGTCGTTTAGAAATAGAGAATAGAACACTAGTCCTGATTACATCCACGTCTATCAGGACTAAATGAGAATAATGACTAAAATACAACATCAGATCAGATTATGACAGTTTTATTTAGTGCAGAGAGTTTAATAGCAGGAGTCGGTGATGCGCCTCATGCTCATGAACCTCATGCCACTCATGCCCATGTTCATGAAGTCCCTGTACTCGCCAGGCCTCATGTACATCATCCTGCCTCTGTAATGGGACTGCTCGTACATCAGCCAGTGGCCATCCATCACATTGCAGGACATGCAGTTGGACATGCGGTAACGGTCCATGATGCTTTCACAGTCCTCCATCAGCTCGTACATCTGACCTCCAAAGTTCTCCCTCTCGTAGATCCTCATTCTGTAAGATCCCCTGTGCTGTGGAGCCAATGATGACCAGGTTAAACCCAGAACAGAACAGAAGCCACCTTTAAAAAGAAGTGTAAGATGGTTTCTTACCATGGGGATCATACGACAGGACCTGATGCAGTCGCTCATGCCCATCATGCTCATGTAGTCAGCATATTCGCCCCTCCTCATGAAGTACTGGTTGCCCATGTAGTTGGTGCGGTCGTAGATCATGAAGCAGCCTTTCTCCACCCTGCAGGAGTGGCACCTGCTCAGGTAGGAGGACATGTCTGGGCAGTCGCTCATGCACACATAAGAACGACCCTGGAAGTTCCTGTCCTCGTAGAAGATGATCTGAAGAAAAAACAAAAGGTCCATTTACTGGAGTGGGTCTTTGGTTTTCTCCTTATTTAAAAAATAAATTAAAAAAACATGTAGGCCCCTGGCTGCTGAACACTATGTCCTGTTTTAACTTTCGTTTTCATTCTTCTGGGGTCAGATTTGAAGCTTTTTTCCTCATTACGAAATAAATGTATGAAACTAGCGAAGCTATTTATCAAAAATGTTTAAAGACAGATATTTCCAGTCCAGGATCACTAAACATTACAAAACTTACCCTGCTCATCGTGTTCATTCCACTGGAGGTCATTTTGATGGTTGGTAGGTTGCTGCTGCTGCTGTTCTTGCACCAAACTGTGCTCTTCCTGGTTTAACCCGGTCCTTTTAGACTCAACCCACAGACTGATCCTTTGTCCAAACTCCCTGAGTCAGTAACGTCATAGAAAGGCACAGAATATAGAAGAATTGTCAACATTTCCAGGGGCCAGTGAGCTCAAATCCTTTGAGTGGCTGCTTCTCGTACAACACGGGGGTCAAAGAGAGGATGAAAGGGTTAACAGAGGTCCCACTTTGTCTTTTCTATACCATACGTGCAGTTTTGTCAGCAACATTCTTCTTTTTTTGTGACATAATTTGCTGATTGTAAAGTCATTCACTCTCGCAGAATGCAATGTATGTAGAGAACTGTTATGACTTTGTGAAAGAGTAAAAATACTCATGGAAAAATTACAATAAAAATAATAATTTCTCAAATTTTTGCATAAGACAAACTTTGATGTGCATGAGCACGTTGGTTTTTAGTGAACAATTAACTGGCAGTGTTTCAACAGGTGATGTTAGTGGGATGGTTTATTACAATTTAATCACAAACACAGCTTTTAAACTAAATAAAGAAACATATGTCTATAAAAATAAATACTCACAGAGATTAAAGTAAAATAGAATACTGATCTGCAAAGAAATAGGTTTCAGTACATCCTTTTAGTTTTCATTTAATACAAGATAATTGATGATAATCATCCAGATAATTTATGATATTTTGATTAACCATTTTCTGTACTACTGCTGTTTAAAAAATTTCAAGACCAAATCGTAACATTAGATGTTTCTATTTTGATTTGTATCTGTTTATTTTCAGTTGTTTCAGAAAATAAATGATACAGTTCTGTAGTTATACAGAAATAGCTATATGTTGTACTAATACTACTACTAATAATAATAATGGTAATAAAAACATTACTATCCCACTTCTTTTTAACCATGAGTAATTAATTGAGTGAATATTTAGTTATCACAACCACATGGCTTGTTTTTGTCTATTTTTATTTTATTGATGGCACAAGTAATTACAGTTTAATTTTAGATCATGCATTTTAGAACTTTATTCGTAACAGATTATTTATTAGCGTAAAAATAAATAAAAGACGGAATCCCAGTTGCAGTTGTAATCTACCTCCTAACCACACGGGGCACTGTGACGTCTCAACTTCACAGAGTGACGCTCCCCAACAAACATTGGTCCGAGTCCGACGTGGTGTCCAGAGCTGTAGAAAGTGGGAGTTACAACCGTAGATATGTAAATAAACATGACATTGTGTGTGTGTATATATATATATATATATATATATATATATATATATATATATATATATATATATATATACAGTGGGGCAAAAAAGTATTTAGTCAGCCACCGATTGTGCAAGTTCCCCCACTTAAAATGATGACAGAGGTCAGTAATTTACATCATAGGTACACTTCAACTGTGAGAGACAGAATGTGAAAAAAAATCCATGAATTCACATGGCAGGATTTTTAAAGAATGTATTTGTAAATCAGGGTGGAAAATAAGTATTTGGTCAATAACAAAAATTCAACTCAATACTTTGTAACATAACCTTTGTTGGCAATAACAGAGGTCAAACGATTACTATAGGTCTTTACCAGGTTTGCACACACAGTAGCTGGTATTTTGGCCCATTCCTCCATGCAGATCTTCTGGAGAGCAGTGATGTTTTGGGGCTGTCGCCGAGCAACACGGACTTTCAACTCCCTCCACAGATTTTCTATGGGGTTGAGGTTTGGAGACTGGCTAGGCCACTCCAGGACTTTCAAATGCTTCTTACGGAGCCACTCCTTTGTTGCCCGGGCGGTGTGTTTGGGATTATTGTCGTGTGGAAGACCCAGCCACGTTTCATCTTCAAAGCTCTCACTGATGGAAGGAGGTTTTGGCTCAGAATCTCACGATACATGGCCCCATTCATTATGTCCTTAACACGGATCAGTCGTATATATATACACACATATCTATGCCTACGACACTCCACTAGACTTCTATGGAAAGAATGGAATTCGGAAGTCACGTGGTTCATGGTTCACAGTTCCAAACAGTCCCCGCTGCTGCACTGACCGCAGTTCATTTTCATTGTTTCAGAAGGATTTTCTCCAGTAAGTTGATGAAATGTCATCATTTTTTACCACTGTGAAGCATTAGCTAATCGTCTCCTACCAAAATAAGCCAACGATGTTATTTTATGTTGCCAGTTTTCGCTAGATAATGTGGCAAGTGGATATAAATGATTTTGTGGTAAAAAAGCAAGGACAATGCCACCCTGTCTCGGATTAGTTCTGTGTCAGAGGCATCTGTGGAGAGAGGGTAAATAACCCTCGGTGGAACAGCTTCTTCATCACATTACATACCCCCCTTTTCAAGGGCACGGTGGTCCATCCAGAGACCACCTGACATTGAACAAACCAGAGTCTTGAAGGACTCCGACGATAGAAGTCCCACCCACCCAAAAGGGTTGTGTCAGAATTGCAACCAAAAACTCAGGGATTGCAAAGGAGAAAGCCAGACAGTGTAAGTGCAAATCTGGTAGTGAGAGCAAAGCTGTGAGCAGCGAGAATGAAACTAAGGAAACTGATAACAAAAACACATAGAGGCAAACAGAAAAAGGAAACACTTTTTTTTACTTATTTTAACAAGTTGATTCAGATAGTAAGTTTTTCTTTTTAAACATTTTTTTTCTCTCAATGTCTTAATATTTGTTTGATCTTCAAAGTGTTTGTCTTGATCCTATTGGCACAAATCTAATCCGATACACACTGGCTCCACCCCTTTAGGCTTGACTGACGGACTGAGACATTCTGCTGTAAAGTCCCATTATGAAATAAATCAGCCATGGGAAAAACACTATTATGAAATAAAAGCTGTCTTTGTTAAAAAGATGTTATGTAACAAAAACTGAATGAATTAAATAAAAATGACTCAATATTAATTTGTATTATTATGAAAAAATGACTTAAAAAACTTTATACCAATAAAGACATTTTAAAAGAAGAATTAAAAATAATTCATAATATTGAGCTTAGATTATACATAACATTCTGTTATTTCGTCATTTCATTTTCAGATTACATGATTGTCTAGTATTTCTCCATGAAGATATTTATTTCATAATGTCTTATTTATTTATTGAATTTTGAATACTTTTGAGTTCCATAGTATGAAACCTAAACATGCATTTACCTTAATTTCAAAATCAATTCTTTTTTGATTTTTTGTTAATTTCCTCATTTTAACTAAATGCAGAAAGTGGTCAATTAAACGTCAATATATTAAACGTTATAAAAACTAATTAATAGAATAGAATAGAAAACAAAGTGGCTGTTTTGACCCAGAAGTTTTTTAAATGAACTTTTATTGAACATTTGAAAAACAAACAAGCGACTACATTTCAAAATTCGTAAACAGAATGACATTACAGAGTAGCTCCGAAGTTCGTGTTCATGCCAACTTGCATTTTGTAGATACTATTCAACTTGGTATAATGAGAAGACAATAAACAAAAAAAACAACAAAACAAAAACAGAAAATGAAGGGATACAAGTAAGAAAACCAGAAAAAACTAATTATATGTGTATATAAATGAAAATTTTACAAGGGGGGGGGGGGGGGGAGTTAAAGAGCAAACAATGGGGGAGTTAAAGAGCAAACAAGGTCTATTGTGTATACCATCCAAAAAGATGTTAGAGATTAGTATTTATAATGAAATTATAAAGCTTTATGGCATTGGGGGTGGACATTTTACCTAAGGATCTCAACAGCAGTTTCATTTTTGAGATTATTAGATTTTTGAGATATCGGCATTTGTGTATGAAAAATGTTGTTAAGATTATAAGATTATTAATTAGAAATTCTGTATTTTTATCTTTTAGTATAATGCCAAATAAGATATCTTCAACTCTGAAATTGTTTATATAAATTTGATTGGTCTTTAGCCATTCCTGGAGTGAATTCCACATCATTCCACGTTTGGTCGATTCATCTTTTTGTTTGCGTAAGTAACATTTTTCCACATTGAACTTCAGTCTAGTTTGTATAAAATGGTTAGATGGGTAAATATCGTTCAAGGTTTTAAAATGGACTTCTTTATACTTTGGGGTAAAGAGAATTTTAGATAGTTGTCGTCTTCCTCCGCTAATCCGGGTCCGGGTTGCGGGGGCAGCATCCCAACTAAGGAGCTCCAGACCGTCCTCTCCTCAGCCACCTCCACCAGCTCCTCCGGCAGGACCCCTAGACGTTCCCGGACCAGATTGGAGATATAACCTCTCCGACATGTCCTGGGTCGACCCGGGGGCCTCCTGCCGGCAGGACATGCCCGAAACACCTCCCCAGGGAGGCATCCTGACCAGATGCCCAAACCACCTCAACTGACTCCTCTCGATCCGGAGGAGCAGCAGTTCTACTCCGATTCCCTCCTGAATGTCGGAGCTCCTCACCCTATCTCTAAGGCTGAGCCCGGCCACCCTACGGAGGAAACTCATTTTGGCCGCTTGTATCCGCGATCTTGTTCTTTTGGTCATTACCCAAAGCTCATGACCATAGGTGAGGATTGGGACTAAGAAAATCGAGAGCCTGGCTTTCTGGCTCAGCTCCCTCTTCACCACGACAGATCGGCTCAGCGTCCGCATCACTGCAGACGCCGAACCAATCCGCCTGTCGATCTCCCGATCCCTCCTACCCTCACTCGTGAACAAGACCCCAAGATACTTAAACTCCTCCACTCTCCCGACCCAGAGTTGGCAAGCCACCCTTTCCCGGTCGAGAACCATGGTCTCAGATTTGGAGGTGCTGATCCTCATCCCAGCCGCTTCACACTCGGCCGCGAACCTACCCAGCAAGAGCTGAAGGTCAGAGCTGGATGAAGCTAGGAGGACCACATCATCCGTGAAAAGAAGAGGCGAGATTCTCCTGCCACCAAACTCGACACACTCCACACCATGGTTGCGCCTAGAAATTCTGTCCATAAAGGTAATGAACAGAACCGGTGACAAAGGGCAGCCCTGGCGGAGTCCAACCCTCACTGGGAACAGGTCCGACTTACTACTGGCAATGCGGACCAAACTCAAGC